CCCAGGTGCTCCACACCATCTCTGAAGGGATCAGCTCTCCTCACCTTCAGGAGTTTTGCCTTAACACACACCTGGGGTTTTGTCTCCTCAGCCCCTGCTCTCTGCCTGCTGCTGCCTTTCACTGCTCAGAACTTTCCTGTGTCCCTCCTTCATCTTCCTCCAGCTCAAACCACTCTGCAGTGTTTCCTTGGCCCTGTCTCCAGGCAGCTCCACCTCACCTCATCCCTGCTGGTGCCTTAGGTTTTGGCTTCCAGCGTTCCCAGGTTGTGCCCTGCCCTGGTGTGTGACTCTGAACTCCACACAAAGTGACAGCAAGCTCTCCTCACAGCTCAGGCACACACAACAATCCTTTCCCAGCCCCACAGCCAAGGGCAGCGCTGCAGCTTTGGGCCCAAAAAGCACAAACAGCCCCCAGCTGAGGAGAGCAAGCTGGGAGGATGGGACTGCATCCCCTGCAGCTGGAATTGCACAATTCACCCCCAGCTGGGGATGGACCAAAGCGATCCAAGGGTGAAACTCCTGAGCCGTCCTGGCTGGAGCCAGGGCCGGGCTCTTGCAGTGCCCAAGGTGCATCCTTGGAAGGGCTTTTAATGGATCCCTGCTTTATTCCTTTAACCCTGCCCAGCCCCTGCCCCTGGAGCCTCTCAGGGCTCAGCAGTGCCCCAGCAGTGTCCTGCAGTCCCTGCTGTGGGGACCAGCCCTGCAGGAGCCTGCCCAGGAGGGGATGGGATGGATCTGCTGGGATCCGAATCCTCCCCGGCTCCCAGCGCCCCTTCCCAGGGCAGCAGGGCTCTGGGCTCAGCTGGTGATTGATGAGGAGCTCTGGGTCTGCAAACTGCCACCTGAAACACATCAAAGGACAAGCTGTCCTGCAAGTTATGTTCAAATTAGGAGAAAACCTCCCAAAATCTCAGTGGCAGTGAGCGGGATCCCTGCCCACAGCAGGAGGTTGGAAATAGATGGGTTTTGAGGTCCCTTCCAACCCAAACCGTTCTGTCATTCCACGATTCAGTTCTGGGGACACGAAACTGTTTCTGGAGGGAATTAAATGCACTGTATAAAAACCAAGCCTTGCACCAAGCACCCACAAAACATCCTGCCAAATACCAGTTTTAAAAACCTCGGTGAATCCAGATCACAAGGCACACCTTGCACTCCTTTTTTCCAGGGGAAATTCAGCATTTCTAAAACTCCATTTTAGTGCTTGTTTCTCATATAGGAATAGTCAAATTGTGAGAGGGTTTTTATACTTGACCTTCCTTCCCCAATAATATTAAAAGTGACTCTGAACAGCAAGAAAAATCACTTTGTAGGTGTTTTAGATAATGACTCTTCCTTCAGGAACTATATTAATTTATTAACTGAATAAAATGCCTTCTTGGACATACAGAACAATGGCCAATGCATCCTACATCCAATTTGATAAACAGATGCAGAAGAAAACATTAAACTTATTTTTGTTCATTTTGTGACTTGCCTGAGGAGGGAAGTGGAGTTTGGGAAGGGACCTCAGGCACTGAAGAGCTGGAGGGTGATGCCAGAATGTTTGTGCCAGCTCTTCTCCAAGGTTTCTGGCAGCAGAGGGGAGATGGACACGGGGAGGGGATGTGAAATGATCCCAGAAAACCAGTTTGGGGACAGGAGGGATGGGTCTGTGTGCTCGGTGCTGACACTGCTGACAGCTGGAGACTCCGTGGGAGGAGGGAGCAGGGAGAAGCAGCCACACTCTCCAACAGCTCCTCTTCCTCATTCCGTGTGGGGAATTCCCTGAACATATCAGCAAGGTCTGGTAACACCCAGGAGCCTGAGCAGCCCCTTGTGCCTGGGCTCCTCCTGCCTCCAGCACTTGTTCTGCTCCTGGAAACTGTGATTCACCCGGGGCACTCTGCTCCCTGTCCCCACTGCGGGGCTGCCCAGCTGGGGGAAAGGGAAAAATCACCACTGATGTGCTTTGCTCATGAAGTGAGAGGAGACTCAGGCTGCTGTGCTAATGACTTCACACCACATGGACCCCAAGGAAACCTGCCAGGACTGAGGTGCCTCCAGAGCTCAGGGCACACCCTGTCCCCAGGCCACAGCCTGCAATTTCAATTTGGGAAACTCTGAGGGAGGAAGTGTAGCTTGTACAACTTATCTGAACCTATTTCCCAACAATGACTATTGTTCACTCCAGCAGCTTGACATAATATAATTTGTTTTGGTGAAAAATAAATACAATTTGCAGCCCGTAACTGTAGTGAGACACACTGTGATTTTATTAGCAACAGTAGATGGATTTTTTTCATTGTTTCTGAAAGAAATCAACATGTTTCTGTTTGCAGAATGCATTAAAAACTCATCCTGAAACCCTTGAGATGGTATTGCATTGGTTGGTTTCAGTTCTTCACAACTTTAGCTGAGTTATGAGAAGCTATGGCTTCCATATTCTGAAAAGAAAAGTTAATATTCCTTTATTTTCTGTGAAGGAGCACACACACACACCCACCCCCCATGATTCAGTAAAAGATTCTGCTTTGAAACCAGGAGGAACAAGGTTGTTTTTTTCACTTGTGTTTATACTACATCTCTGTGTCGTTTGCTGAAGCAATCCGTCTGTGAATCCTCTGGGCAAGTCAAACAAGCTGATTTGTTAATTGAGAAAATGCAGTTTTGGTGTCTGAAAATCTGGGAAACAAAGCTATGCAAAAGTAAAAATCCAGAAAAGTGGGGGGAAAAAAAAAGTCAACAGATACTCTCACAGGAGAACTCACACTGTGTTGTGAAAGTTTATTTTCATCCTTCATTGCTACAGAAATTTCCCTCCATGAGTGCTGCAGATATTTACACTGAACTCCATCTCACTACCTCTGCCCAGCTTCCAGCCCTCCTCCCCATTATTCAGTGTTTCCCTCATTACTGATTTTATCTGTGCCTTTGATTCACAAGTACAGTTCTGCAGGAAAAGCAGCGTGCTTTTCAAAAATCACAACCCAGACCTTGAATCCTTCTCCTTTTCTGCTGCAAAAGCACCCACTCACATGCTGGTAAGAATTACCCAAACCTCAGAGGCTTCTGCAGAGCCCCCCACAGCCCCTGCCCATGGAACCAGCTGGTTCTGGGTCCTTCCCAGCCCACACCAGCCTGCCCTTCCCAGGGAAGGTGCTCCTGCATCAGCCTGGGGTTTTAACTCCCAGGGGCTGACCCTGGCAGCTGTTGGTGGTCCCTGATCAGCCTTTTCTCCATGAGCTTTTCCTGGTTTACACCTTCCACAACCGGTGATTAAGGGGAGGGCAGCTGAGAACTGATGACATTAATATTGCCTTGAGAAGCTGCTTTCTGCCCTGAACACAGAGAACTGACTTCATTCCCCAAAATGCAAAAAAAAGGACGTTTTTTTAAGGTGTGGGAGCAGAGCCAGGCTTTATCTCACTCATACCTGTAACAGCATGAACAACAGGCTCTCAAGATGGCTAAGAAAAAACAAATGATACTCCTAATTATGCAAATTAGGAGCCAAAGGAGCTCTCCCTCATGCTGTGTGCCAACAGCAGCACCTTTTTCCTCGTGTGAAGGGTGAGACAGGAGCTCATGGTTAACCTCACAGCTGAGCTGTGCAGCAGCCCTGAGGCAGCACTCAGCACTCCTGTGTCCCCAGCCCTGCAGGATCCAGGAGTGTCCTGGTCCCTCCCAGCGCCAGCACGACCTGCCCTTCCCACTGTTATCAATGCACATTATAATATTGGCTTTTCACAAGGATTCAGATGAATGCTGTATGTATCACGTTCCAATGGCTTTGCTGTAACAGTCGATAGAGGATGTTTGAACTGTCTGCTCAGTTGGGATAACTCCAGTGAACAGATGATGGGGACCCTGCTGCTATCAACACTCAGCGGCTGTGCAAAGAAGGAGCCAAGGCCCAAATTCAAAGGGGAGAAGAAGAGGATTAAAACCACAAACCAAGACACAGGCATGCTGTAAAAAGGTGGACCCAAGGAGTGGCCAAGCTAAACAGTTCCTGGGAAATGAAAAGTAGTTAATGGAAAAGTTTGAATATGCATAAAGTCTATGAATATGCATCAGGTGATGCAATAGAAATGGGATATAAAGGGTGTTTCCAAAACACCAGGGGTGCTCTTGGCAGAGGGCCAAGCACCCGGCCCTTTTAACCCTTTGCTTTATTTATACCTATATATATAAATAACATATATATATATAACCCTGTCTTTGTCTCCTATTGTCTTTTTTATTAAACCTTTCAAAATTCAGCAGGAATGTGAACACTGTTTTTCACACCAGGAGCTCTCCAGGAGGCAAAGCACGGAGAGGGAGCCCTTGGGCAGGATGGTGGTGAGTCCTGACTGCCTGCAGGTGAGATCCAGAGCAGGTGTCCCAGCTGTCACCTGGGGAGATGCTCCAGCAGGAACAGAGGAACCTGTCCCACCTCACATCCTCAGGACACAGCTGGCTCCCAGCCTCGCTCCCTCCAGGTTTTCCTCCACATTCTCTTGTCTGTTTTCACACATTGCTATCACCACAAAATTACTGACAGGAAAATGTATCCACAAACACCAGAGGTTTATGTCCAGAAAGGGGACAGAGGAGTACTTTTACTTTATTCAAATAAAGGGAGAGGCCATGGGCCATTCCCATGGGGGCTCTCACATTTTTGAAGGGCACAGCCTCCTTTTATCCGAATTTCCCAGCCACATCTCCCTCTCTTTCCCCATAGGCTGAGGTATTTGAGAGGGACAGACTCCCCGGAGTGCCTGACACCTAAGATTCCCATCAAATGTAAAACCCTCCCTCTTAATTTTTAATTCTTATGGAATTTATGGTGTTTCCCCACTGTCTCTTCCATCTTTCAATATTCAATTTCATTTATCAGCAAACCTACAGTCTGTTTGTAAAGGCAAATATCTTTTTCCATTCACCAATCAGTGGAATCCATCCCATTGTTTCTTTTACCTCTCAGTGTTAGTTTTATCTACCAGCAGACCC